GCGTTTGGAGCACGCTTGATGAGGCTTGGACCACGAGCACCCACTTGCTGATACTATGCTTCGAGCTTGATTGGTTTATTTTCACAGCACCCGGCACATGGTCTGCCATTGTGTCCCTCTTCGGCTCTCTTGGCAGCAATTCCGCCGCATCCAGTTGACTCTTTCATCGAGAAGGTCAAGCTTGTACCCTCTGTGTGGCATTTTCTACCTTACGATAGCAGACCCTCGCTCCGGGAGTGTTTTCTTTGTGTGGGTTGTGGAGGGTGTGGTTTTTTGTGATAAATAAGGTACAAATGATCGGCACCATACATACTACCGCGGTCGCTTGATGCGGTTCGAGGTGCATGTATTGTCTGCCTTCCTGACAGGACGTAGACGTAACCAGTCAGCTAAATCAGTCCCGAACTATGTAAATGCGTTTGCTAGACGTTTCTGTTTGGACTCAAGAGCGCTCACCCGTGCATCCTCCATGCATTGCGGATAACTCAGGCTTCTTCAAGATCGAACGGTGGCGAGGCCGACGGTGATTCGGAGGGGGATCAGGACGGGTCAGATTTGATGTCCGAGTTTATGGGAGAGGTAGGCATGACGCCGCTGCAGACCGCAACAAAGGCCCGCATCGTGAAGATGTCTCTCTTTGGTGTCCACTTCCGCGTGTGGCTGTCCACCGAAGCGCACACATACGGTCTGTACTCACCGCCACCGTCCATCTAGTATTGTTGACCTGCCGTGTACAAACAAAGCTCCAACTGGCTGCGTTCCCTTTGCTTCGCCCATTCTTCCGGCTGAATCTCGGCAAGCAATTCGCAGCTGACGAAACGTGTGCTTTGCATGCGCAATTACACCCTGGTTGATGCATACGGCGTGCTCCAAATCTCTTCGGCGAACTGCTTCCCTTGTTGCGCTCTGTGTTGGCCGTTTGCCCGGGCCATGTCCCTCGCGCAACCAGGTAAATCAACGAGAAAGTTTGCGAAGAAGAGAGGGCGTACGTCTCCTCAAGCGGCCGTCTGCGCTTCTTCCTCCACATACCGTGCTGGAACACGTGCTGACCTCTCTTCAGAATATCGATTTCCCTAAGGAGGGCGCGGGATGGCGGAAGGCAAGTCCCGCAAAGAATGCCGACTCTATTGTCATCTACGGTTGCTCGTACTCTCATCTACGGTTGCTCTGATCAACGGCGCAATCTCGTGCTTGGTGACGTTGTCGTGTGGACCTTGCACAGCGCTTGAGTTGTGTCGCAGTAGCCGTGCAACTTTGCTCGTTTGAAGGGTGGCTCTGTGTTGTCGTTGCGCCTCCATGGATATGCACCATGCCGGCTTGGAGGCTTGTTGTACAGCGGGTTGTAGTGGTGAGACACTCTACGGAAGATAGGAAAGCACTAAATATACAGCTTGTCGTATGCTATTCCCTAGACCTTTATGCAAGGGTGTAGATGAATTTGTCCTGTTTCACACATTAACCTCGCTTATTTGATTAAAACGGCGACAACTTATTTTTGAACGAGCAAGACGGCCAAACCTCAAGTGCACCCTATCCCACAACACCAACACCCCCAAGGCTTGCGAAAATATCCTTCCTTTTTCTGATGGTGGTAGCACTGGAGGCACGAGAGAAGCACAAAGGCCGTGGTGTTCTCCGCGTGTCCGAGGGTGAGCCTGACGCTCTCCTTTCATTCTAATTTCAAGTAATGTAGTACTTGACAGGCGTTCCTGTTCAGTGCGCTGGACCAGGAGGTCAGCCGAGGACCGATCGACTATCGCCGCGACTGGACGGACGAAGACGAGTTACAACCAAGGTGGGGCTTGACTCCGTCCGCCTGAAGATCGGCCCCATCGAAGACTTTGTCACAACGAGGGATAAAATACGCTGGGAGGCAGTGTTTGTGGTCGAACTGTCTGGCGGGTTCTCACATCCTGTCCTCCACGTAGTGACTGGCCTCATCTACGTTCCCGAAGGAAAAATAGCCCTGGGGGGCAGTGTTCTAGTCAATTACCTGTCTAGCGGGTTACTCGAATCCAATGTGTGGTCCCTGTAATCCATTGGTTGTGTATGGCTTCATGAGATTGTCGTTTGCGGTACTCCTTCGGCAGTCGCTGCCCTTCAAAACTAGCAGCTGGGACATCTTTTGACCTCGATGGGCTTGGACTTGAATTTGAAAGCCACGGCTCAGTTCTCGAGGCGACTGCACTACACCACAACATTTTTCCTCGCTCTTGGAATTTCAGGTCGGTTGGAAGGCACGATGTTGATATGCTTGAGCTTCTTGAAATATCTCACTACCGTACCTGACCTACGAAACGTTAAACCTTGTAATCACGGGGGCCAACGGTGTCCTGTTACTTTACGCGTGCTGTTCAAAATGGACGGCACACAGGTACCTAGATAAGGACTCGTACGTGGCCGTGATGAGGCTGAATTTTCCGTTCCTTGCGGGGATGGAATCGTTCAACATGGCGGGAGAGCCAATTTTTTCCGATGACGATCATCGCGTCACCTTCCCGGTGAGGGATATTGGCAAGATGAGTGGTAGAAGAGTTTTAAGGAAAACGGGACACGGGTATTGGCAAGAGTGGCACAATTTCGCGCCACCCACTTAAGAACCTCTTGTTTCGTACAAGGGTGGTTTCTTTCAGTCTTCGTGGGGAAACCCAGTATCTGAGCAACCTGTTCGCCGGGGCCAGGTTCTGAACATTATCTCTTTCTGAGCCGAGATAGCCTTCTGCGATGTATGTGGCGCTGTGCTATGTGTATTTCACGACGCGATCATGTTCTTGCTTTGAGTGTGCCGTTGTGCTGTATGTTGTTGATGCGTCCGGACAGCTGTGACTTAACTACCACGCCAGACCACTTGATCGCGGTATGCTTGATCATTTTCTCTCTTAACCGCACAGAAAACCACCGTAGTATGGTCTCTCGTCCCTGTGCCGCGCCCATCTCTTCCTTGCCTCATGCACACGGGAACACCCTTCTGCCATCGCAATTCTATCAACTCCCGTGGATCACGCCACCCTGGTTGATTTGCTGTGTTTCCGCTGCTTTTTTCTTGCCTTCATGGAGCCTGTTTCCCATTGTATCCTGCCTACTGACCTTCACCCAACCCGGCCGCTGCTGACGATCTCGTATTTCGAATCGCTTAATTCGCGCCTGCCCCGTTTGACGATTGCGTGCAGATACGTGTGATCGCCGATGAGACGAGAACGGTGGTGAACTGGGCGGAAATGGACTTTAGGTTAGGCCGTGTCAGAGATGGCAGCCACAAAGACTGCTGGCTGGTGGAACGAGTGACCATCAGGGATTCTGGTCACGATACGAAATGACATTTACATACTCCGCGCGGTGTCACGCGTGCGTTGAGCGTCTTTTTGCTGTCGAAGAGCGTCGAATGTTGACTTTTGATTGCCTTCTTTCAAGTATTTTTCGAAACGGAGAGTCTTCTGCAAGGCGAGGTCACAAGGCAATCGGGTCCTCCCATGATGTTGTGGTGTGTCGTGTGGTCTAGACTCTCACAGTCCGGGCGGTATGGCATGTATCATGTCGATGACGTTGAGAGTCCGGTGAAGCGTTGGTACCTGTGTGCTGTGACGACAACTGCTGTATGCGTACATTGAAAGTGGACCCTACGACTACTACTTCAGCAGTGGGCGGCGAATCTCCGCCTCACGCAGTTGGGCTTGGAACAGTTTCCACCTTCTTCAGCCTTGGCGTCTACAAGAAAATCAAGGGTTGCCTCGGCCAAACCAAATACTTCGTTTCTGAATTGCTGTGGACTTGTAGATCAGAGGGCTCGTAGTCGGGTGCTTTTTGCCTTGCACTATCTGAGCTCTGTGCCGGAGGCATGCAGCATCATCTATCCTTCGGTTTGTTTAACAAGCTTCACAGATGATACGAGTCCAAGATACATTTTCGTTTTGATTCGAATCCGTGCGAAGGCACAGATACCTGAGCCAAGCGAGATATAAAAATCTCAAGGTCGTAAGGATATGGGTTCGTGTTGCCATTTCTTTTTAATTCAATCCAGCGCTCCTCAGTTTGAGTCGGGTACAAGAAGGTGTGCTGCCGCTCTCTCCGTGAGAGAAGCAAATAGTCTAGGCCACAACGAGCCGGGCCAGGAATGACGTTAGACGCCTGGCATTGGGTGGGATGGAGCGCTAGAGAAAACAGGGGGTGATCACGCTGGAAACATCCGGCTGTGATGATGATAGACAAAATCATTAGAAACGTTTCATCATCAAGGTGATACGTAGCATTGGTTGGAACGCGAGGAAAAACACTTGGCAAAGTAGCAACGGTCGCATACTTTGGGTACCTCGGTATCCCGCGCATTTTATTTCCGGTTCAAGTTGGAAGTCGACCTCATTGGACAGGCAGGTAGCAGTACATTGCTGTAAATCAGTATCATTCCTAACCTACTATCCTATGTATCCCCCTCCCCTTCAACGCGTTTCACCTACACGAAGGACAACATAACATTGTAGATTTCAAAATGAGCGGGAAACAGCCTAGACTATGGACTCAAATCTACAGTACAACTCCAACTGCTGTTGAAAGCCAAAAAATGAAAAAAAAAAACATGTGGTGCGTGTACCTGTACAACAGTCCTACAGCTATGCATACTGCTGTAGTCTACACAGATAGCGCCCGCACTTAAGAACTTATCAGTTAAGGGGGAACCGCCAATCGATGTTGCGGTTCGCAATCGGGGCAGTGTAAAGGGAATAGACTGGTCTGGAAACCCCACTGTTAACATGACAAAACCTGGTTAGACCGCACTTGTTACGGCGGCCCGCAAGCAGGAGGGCAGCGACGTGCCCAGAACAACAACCGGTGAGACCCAGAGGAAATACGCATGAGATGAGATGTATGAAGTGTCACATCGTACAATGCACGACCGAAAGACTTGTCGTCGCCGACCACAGAATCAGCAGCTTTGAAGCGGCGGAATTGCCGGATATACGATTCTCCAGCACACCGCCCCGGCGCGAATAAGGCGTGTAGTGGATGAACTCACGTACTCGCACGCTGAGGGTGTGCTCCATATGTGTGACGGTCGTGCAGTGCCCGCAGAAGTTTAGGAACGTGTCGGCGTCGGTGTTTCCTCACCCTCTGGAAATGAGGACATGATTTCCGCCAAATGGGGTGCTGAGGTGCGGTCAAGCCGATCGGAAAAGCTGTACACACGAGGCGCCGTGCAAAAGGCGACTGATATAGGTAGTCTGTGAACATGCAACGCCCTCCGAAGAGTTTTGGTGCGTTCGGTTGCCAAACCTTCAAAATTTCGGTTTCGGTGTACTGGCTCCCAAAAGTGTGCGTTTCTATGCACATATAGGCGTTTTTAGACAGTGCAAGTACTGTGCATTTTTTTTTTACGCTTCCAAAAGATGGCCCTGTGTAATAGGCTGTCGAATAAGGTTCGTTGTCATATTTTAGCAAGAAAAGACGTTTTAACACGGGGCTATTTGGCCAGTTGTCATTTTCGAAAAAAAGACAGCCTAAAAAAAGCCAAAAAAAAGACATCGTAACAAATGGACTGACCCATAGCTTTCGTATGAATGTCCCAAAACCGGAGTCTGATCATAAACGACGGAGAAACAGCGTTTTCCATTTAAGCGGAATTTACAGCAGTAAATATGCCTATTAATAGGGATTTAGACTGGAAATTTCCCGGCGTGATTACCGTCGGGACAGATAAGGCAGGACACCACCTGCGTGGGGTCCAGGACGGCTCATCGCCCGCGTTTCGACCTAGTGATGTTACAGGAGCAATAAACGATACCGAGGCGTGAAAAGCGGAGGTTTGGTGGTGCCAGCTTGATAATTTATTGCAATATATTTACAGCAGTATGTATATGTATGGCGGGCTTGCTTTTCCAGGCCACACTGCTTGTGCTTACCCGCCGCGTCGCGCGCGTTCGCATTCTTTGTCCAGACCCACATGATCGACGCATGTACAACGGATAACCGACCGTTGACGGTAGTCGAAGTCCAGAGAGGGTTGAACCGTATAGAACCGGCCGGTTGTTGGCTAAGACACGGTGGCGTCGAGAAAATGGTTGGCTGGCGACTAGGTGCAATTCAGCAATTTCTAGGATCGGTAGAGCCCAAAGAGCTTGGAAGCNAGGTTTGGTGGTGCCAGCTTGATAATTTATTGCAATATATTTACAGCAGTATGTATATGTATGTATGGCGGGCTTGCTTTTCCCGGCCACACTGCTTGTGCTTACCCGCCGCGTCGCGCGCGTTCGCATTCTTTGTCCAGACCCACATGATGGACGCATCTACAACGGATAACCGACCGTTGACGGTAGTCGAAGTCCAGAGAGGGTTGAACCGTATAGAACCGGCCGGTTGTTGGCTAAGACACGGTGGCGTCGAGAAAATGGTTGGCTGGCGACTAGGTGCAATTCAGCAATTTCTAGGATCGGTAGAGCCCAAAGAGCTTGGAAGCACGAGGCGCCAAACGAATCTGTCGAGACCTCTTCAGCTTTTGGCGTCGGTGGGGATGCACTTTAAGGGAAAACCATGTTGCCGTAACTGGGGGCGAAGGGGGCGTTTGCCCCCCATGGGGTGGCTCCAAGCACGCCGACATAGGGGAGCCTCGCGAGCGGGAAGAACCTCGACCCGACAACTTCCAGAAATCCACTAGGGATGACCGACCTGCCTCCCCCGAAAGCGAGAGAGGGGAGTTCNATGTTGCCGTAACTGGGGGCGAAGGGGGCGTTTGCCCCCCATGGGGTGGCTCCAAGCACGCCGACATAGGGGAGCCTCGCGAGCGGGGAGAACCTCGACCCGACAACTTCCAGAAATCCACTAGGGATGACCGACCTGCCTCCCCCGAAAGCGAGAGAGGGGAGTTCAGCGCAGATGGAATGATAGAGGGCGAGCTCGGTGTCCCGCGTAAGTCATCTAGTGTTGTAGGAGAGGGTGACGATTGGATGGAGACCGAGGAACAAAATGGTGTGTTATCCCGCGGTGGCTCGGAGGCAGAGGGTGAGCTGGCATCTGGTGTTGTTGGCGTACAGAATGATGAAGAGGGGGAGATCGAGAAACAGAGCGATGTGTTATCCTGCGATGGCTCGGATTTGTTGGATCCACTGGACGTTCGCGAGGTCGGGCAGGGTGGCGACGGAATGTCCGGGTCTTCACCCCGGAGGAGCGACGCAGTTCACGGATGCGGGGAGCGACACATCTAAGAATGCGATCATTCTTGCTGATGTCCGGACGGGAGGGAAAAAAGCTCGGGTGTGTGCAGAGTGCACCGCTGCAGGGGTGGGCTTGCAGTTTTTGGCTGACAAGCAGCATCAGCGAAAGGGGCAGAAAATCTGCCGGAAGGTCCGAGAGGAATGGGCGGCGAAAAAACCCGCCAGCCGAACTTCCTCGTAGTTCGTGTTTTGCGGGCGGGAGATAGAAAGGGGGTATGCAAAATTCCACGGGCAGGTTTAGTACAGTACAGTATTTTTATTCCAGTATTTAACTGCGTACTAAAACGTCCAGTACAGTACAGTACCGAGAGCCGTGCTGCCAGTACAGTATATTCCAGTATCGAGAGCTGTACTGGAGATTGCAGTATTTTTATTCCAGTATTGAAAGCTGTACTAAAGCGTCCAGTACAGTACAGTACCGAGAGCCGTGCTGCCAGTACAGTATATTCCAGTATCGAGAGCTGTACTG